GACATTTCCTAAATTTCATTATTTGTTTTGCCTGCCTTTCAAAGTCAAGAGCAGCAATGTCCTTTTCCTTTTGAAAGATCTCAAGTCACTCTCATTCCTTACAATACCTCCCTTTGATTTTTATTATGAGTTTTATATCTGTCAACAAAATACTTATCTAAATCAGGGTTGTCTCACCCACAAGACATAAAACTAAGCCCCAGGATTTCTCATCATTAAAAGACTCCTTTAGAAACAATAGGATCTTTCAATATCAGCATCCTGGTTAAAATCAAGCTCAGGCAGGTATATTCTCTCCACTAAAACATTTCCCCACAGTTTCAATTACTCGTTGTATATAACAATTAAGTTCAAAACCAAAGCTGAATAGTGCTTCTCTTAAATAACTGCTATACTTTTACATCATACATTCAGTTCTTGACAGGCTTTTTTTTTAATCTCTCAAATTGAGAAGTGTTATGCAAATTTGATCTATTGTAACTATAAAACAATTTCAAAGGATCCACAGTTGTGCTTTTTTCATAATATTAATTACTATATATTATAATATATTTCATGGTTTTTGAAGGCTATCACTTTTCCCTCATATTGGTTGGTTTAGGAATATAAACAATATTTCCAGGTTATTATCTTCAGTATGTCTGAAGCTTTTAAACCAGTTTAGGATTTTATTGAGCAGAATCAGCAGGAGTAATACATGAGTGATACTCCACTGTGCAAGGCCCCATCTACATCAGGGACCTAAGGAGGGGTGCCAAGAGACAGAACAGCTATAGCTCTGGACCACTGAGAGAAATCCCATTGTTTAGCTACACTGTGATTGCACTCCTTTAATAGCTGTAATTAGCACAATGTCCTGTGGATAATGGATTTTATTCACACCTGGCTTTTGAGCCTGTAAGGTTAGAAGAAAAGTGCCAGCAGCCCCCTCCTCCTACTTCCTTTCTTGAAGTAAAGCCTACAACCAAGATTGTGTGGCCAGAATAACACAGCTGCATGCATCCTAGAGACTGTCTCTTTCTGCAGAATTGTGAGAATGATGATTTTCAGGTGTTGTCCTCCAGGAAAATATACAGAGAAGAAAAATAGTGCAAAACTATACATTGTTGTAAATATCCCCTTGACCCACAGCAATAGTCACTGCAGCAGAGAAATACTTTTTGCACTTTTCTATGCTAGTAACTGAGAACTCATAAGGTAAGGACTTTCAAATATGAATTCAATCTTTTTTTTTCCTCTTCTTTTTTTTCCTTCTTTTTTCAGAAACATACTTTTTATAAATCATGAAAAAAGAGATAAAAACACAAATAAACTCCAGCTCTTTAAATGTCAAATGTACAAAACCCCTTCAAATAATATCTTTGCTATAACCTCTTCAGCTCAGTAAAGATTCTAGTTTTACACAATTAAACTGCCTTAACAGGTGGATTTCTGACTGTGCATTTATTCAAATTGAGTTGAATCCATATCTCATGTTATTTTAAAACTCATGAGCCAATAGAAGCAGTGCAATTAAAGCTCCTCTTGTTCTGAAATTGCTGTAGCTAGCAAACTTCATTTGTCCTCCAAAATTTCAGGGCAGTATTCCCTAGACACTATTGGAATGTCTACATACAACTCAGTGTCAACAGGTACCATAATTCCATCATGTACTAGAATAGGAAGCATTAATGAATAAAATTTTATTCAATGTCCTCTTGTGCAAAACAAATATGGATGCAGATTCGTCAGAATACCACAGAAAACAAGTGAAGTTACTTCCTTGTTTGTTTCCTTTAGTTCCTTTTAAATTTCCTGTTTTCTTTCTCTTCAAAACATAAGGTCAAACATGGTCAAAACATAATTGAAATACTGGGGGATAGTACATAAAAAAAAACACGAGAAACATGATTTTTCCAGCTATTTAGTCAGCCTGACCATTAATGCCCAGACAGATGTGAACTAATAGGGTCATTCAGCATTCAGAAGAATTGACAAATGAAAAGGCCCAAAAGCCCAAATTCATTTGACCTGTCCTTGGGCACCCCTCTCAGCTACTGAAGTTCTGTACGTGAGGGGCTCCGATGTGCTCTGCAAAGACTGTCTGGCAATTTCAGTGGATAAATAAATATCTGCCTCCCAGATGTGCTGGTCTCCCCGTCACCAAACAGGGAGCCTGGGACAGCCAGACACCTAATTTACAACTTAATTTAAGTTCTTAAAGACAGCTGGGACAAATATAAACTTATATTTCCAGAACCAGATCCCCTGAAAAATAACCATATTTATTTCTTAACCATGTAAGATTGACCTGACCTCAGCATGAAAACTTCTGCCAGAAAAGAACTGGCAAACTCTGAGGAAGACCCAGATTTCAAAATTGTGACCATGTCACCAGGAACTGCCCATGGCCATCACTGTCTTTGGCTTCCTTGATTGAAAGAGAGGATTTTTCATCCCTTCTCATCTTCAGAGACACTTTTTACAGAGCAAGGAGCATCTATTTGATATTCAGTTACTCCTTATGTCTGAGCCCAAAGCCATGAAAGACAGAAATTTAATAGCAGCAGCTCTCTTTTAGGAGACACTGCTGAAGATGACAACAATGTGACGGTTATACTGGCAAAGGTGTCTTCATCTTGCTTGAGACTGACTCAACCCTTCTTTCATTTCCAGGACAACAGCTAAATCAATGAAGGAAAATTACTGTCTTTTCTCATCCTACCATCTTCCAAACCCATAGCTGCCTGTGCACTTTGTGACAGTAGAAAAACTTAATTGCGCCCACTGGAAATTTTTCAGGACAAAATGTTGCACAGCATTTTCCAAGATGGGCACAAATGCTGACGCTCCCTTCACAGACACATAAGCATACAGCAGTGTTTACGCTGAACCCCAGAAATGCTACCAAATTATCAGAATTTAAGTTCTGCATTATGTAGTAAACAAATAAGCCTAAAATATGTAGTTATAACGTATTATTGCATCAGACTCTTCTACAAAATGCCTTGTTTACCAAGTTCCTTCTGTTGCACAGGCAGTGATAAGATCCAATCTTTTGCCTTAAGCACCAGGCAGAAATGATATAATTGTCATCTACCCCTTCCACAATGGGATTAGCCTACCTTGAGGATTCCTTCACACGACTTCAATGCTGATAAGACTTCTCTTTTGGAAATAATTTTTAAAGGCCATCAACACGTCCCTTTTTTTAAAAAAAGAAAAGCCCCTTTTCCTCCATTCTCGGGGGCTACGAGCTCTTTTAAAGCAAAAACTTTTCCACACTTTTCATTCCCTAACAATAAGCTGCTGTCTATTAGCTTTTTGTTTTGACATAGGAAAATCAGAAGCATATTAATTTTCAGGCTAACACTCCTATGAGACCTTTGCCAGTATACCTCAGCATATGCTCAGCTTTATCCTAATAGAGCACAGTCTGCAGAGTTTAAATATTTGCTAATAATGACAATGATCTAACTTTTTATCCAAACATTTGTATCGAGCCTACCTGAATACCTGAGCACTCCCTATGGATCTCTAGTGCCTTTAATTCAAATAATTCCCATGGTATTGTTTATATTTTTACTTTTGTCTCCTACTGCATACACACAGAAGTCTCTGTTAAAATCCCAGCAGCCCTTCAATAAATCAAATTAAAGGTATTTGGCTTAAGATGATAACTGATACTTTTGGAAAAATCAGCTCAGATTTGTAAAGGCTCCAGGGCTGATGAAGTGCCTCCCACTCAGAATATGTCAGCGTAATCTGGCCAACTTTACATTCCTTATGCCTTTTTTTTTTTTAATCTGAAAATTTAATGAAATCAGAGTATGTCTGGTGATTAGCAAATTGTGAAAAAGGTGATATTTTTATGGAAAACATCTATAGAAAGATATGCTGATTATTCAAAATCACTGGTTTTAAAGAGGAAGAGATTAAAGTCACAATACAATGATGAGTAATGATGAGTACAAAAAGGTATTCCTCAAATGAATGACTGTTGTTTGGTATAAATTGTCCTGCCTTTGCAACATGCTCTTAAAATTCAATCTGTAATTTATATTATTGTAATCTTTGTTAGGTATTAAGGTCACTTGTACTAGCAATCACTTAGCTAAATAAACAAAACAGATCTTGTATTATACACAAAAGTGCTTTTAGTTTTAATCTCTGTAAAGTCAAGGAAACTATTTGTAGGGTCATAGAGGGGGAGAAGGAGTGGATCCATGAAAGAACACCATTTTATCTATTTTAACTTTATTTAACCTAACGATCTAAATATTTAGGGATCAAAACACAGCCCAATACAATGCAATTAGCATTAAAATTCTCAGTAGTAAAAAAATAATACTAACTAACAATACATACATGGTACATTTTCAATTAAAAAAAGCAAATAAAAGTAATGAAACCATCTGCTTGTTTTGTGCTAATGCACTGACAATACAAGAAATCCCAGTTAACACCAAGATGGGCACTAGGAGAATGGCTATTAGCTTTCATTATTAGAGGTACATTTCCCAAAGACTTCAAAAAAGACTTTCCTTACGGTGACAAGTGCTAAATAGGTCAGCAAATGGATACTCAAACCATTTCTGTGAGCCAGCCAGAAAACCTCCCAGTGACTTCAGTAGACTTTGAATCAAGCCTTCAGACCTCAGCTATTATACATTTTCTGCATCTTTTCAATAAGCATTGATGGGTCTCTGTTCTGAAAGCTAAATGTATCTTTGTATTTTCTCTCACAAAAGATCAGAACCCTGTAAGCACCATCTGGACTGCTTCTTTGTGCGTCTATACTTTATGCAGATATGGTCTTCAAACACAGACTGCAAAAATCCTATTGTAGCAGCAGACAGTGACTGGGATCCTTATCCAGGAGTCCTTTGAAGTCAAAAGAAGCTGGATCAGGCCCTCCCTATGCTTTGCATAATAATATCATTGAACCTATTGTGCAAGTTTATATAAGCCATAATTGCAAAGCTATTACCTTATGTCAGCTTTCTCACATAAGCTCTTACCTCCAAGGCATGCACCCATGGCCAACGAGAAGATCAATGGTTTCATAGGCAAGTTAACATCAGGATCTTTACTCAGGTTGAGAAGCACAGGAATCTGTGGTTTAAGAAGAAAAGAGAGAGAGATTCAGGAGACATTATCCAACCAGCAGCACAATATAAATAAAATTCATTTAAGTAAACAACTTAAAGCACGAGCAAGTCCAAAGAATAACTCGCGGGTTTTTTCTTTTTTTTTTCTTTTTTTTTTTTTTAATTAGTATCTTTGCATCATATTCTTGATCTGTGCTCACTTTTCCCCACTGACTGTGCTAGTCCCACAAGCCAAAGAGAAGGTATCGGCAACATTGGCCAAGCCTGGCACAGGTACTGCTAACAAAACTGAGGATCTCTTAAGGTTATGAGCGCATCCTATTAGATCCTTCTAGTTCAACAGGGAACTGACAGTGACTATAAATTAATTCCGCCTCCATTTCTCAAAACCTAAAGGACAGAGCTGTATCCCCTCTTCTTGCTGGAGACAGCTGTAAGAGATGCCCAGTCCTTCACAATCGAGATGGCTGTAGATCATGTGTCACTAACTAAAAAATCCCTGAATCCTTGTTATAATCAAAAGCATCTGATCTCTTAGGGAAAAATTGAGAAAGATCAATGTGGCAGGGTTCTGAATTCATAAGCAGAGGTGAGTTATTTTACTTTTTATTCTAATATTATACTTACCAGACAATGTAGATTTAGTTCACTGGGAAATATTTGCAAGTTTTATGAATTTCATTTAATCACTTTAGCAATTAAAATAAAACCCCTGAAAAGTCAAGTGAGATTTGCAAGGAGACATAATAGACTTCATTAGACAATTGGTATAGAGGCCAAAAATACAGCAGGCAGGCTTTCTAGTAGCACTAGATGTCAGTCAGTAACACCCTTCAAAGCTAAACAACTTTCACCTTAGTTGGGAAAAACTGGCTTGAGTTCACCTTAATTGTGTAACCACATGGTTTGAAAGAAAGGTGTAATCAGTACCTGTAGAGAGAAGGTCTCTACAAGGCAGGGCAAGGGGAGAGGTGATAATGTTATTAACCTGTTTTTAACACATACAGAGGTTTATGGGACCAAAAGGGAAAGAGAAAGAACAAGCAAACATGGAACAGCAAGAGATCAAGCAGGAAGGGATTTGTGGAAATAACTGTGATATGCCTTAAAATTAATGCTTTCTCAGAGTCCAGGATTTTCAGTAGTGAATGGAGTTATGACTTTTAATCCTCCAATTTGTCATTTGAATGTATTTTACAGGTCCCCCTCAAGGGGTATGATCTCAGAGATGGAACAGCTGCTTCCTGAAAAATGTTTTCACTTTGATGGCTGAGTGATGCTCACCTTTACTAACTGTGTGTTCTTTTGGTATGGAACAATATATAGGCTTTATGAAGAATTACAACCCTTTCCCCATCCTTCCTGCCGGTGGTGCTAATCATCCCTCTGAAGTCCTCTAATTGATTAACCTAGATAAGTTAATGTCTAAACAATTATTCTTTAATTGTACATTGCCTGAAGATGTCTATTTCTTTTTTAAAGCCTAAAGAAGGGTCAGCATGCCCAACATCTTGCCTGTTTTTTCCCATGAAACAGTCACAAAAGATTTCATTTCTCCCCACAAACTTTGTTTCTCTCAAACCATCACTGCTACAACATGATATGTAATTCAAACTGGAGTTATATGTATGTCAAAACAATGTTGTGTTTCAACATAAAACAAAATTTAAACACAAATACTGAAATCGCAGGATAAGCTATCTTGCTCAATCTAAATAAAACAGTTTTTCCTACTATATAAGTTTGAGAACCAAAACCGATTATTTAGTTCCTCAGAGTTATTTGCAAGTATCCTGATGTACTACGGTAACTCACTTGTTGCAGGACACAACCCTGAACTGTGCGGACTAGCAACATCTGTTTAAATTAGACTCCTCCTTGTGTGTGTCCTGCCCAGCACAGAGAAGGTGGTTAGGCAGAGGAGATTAAAATGATAATCCTATTTTCTTGCTGTTGAGGTCAGTCCTAAAGCTGTTGACAGCCAGCTCCCAAGTGCAGAGCAAGTAATGCCTTTTTCACACCCCACCAGTGAGAACCATTGGAACTGTGAAGGACAGGGGAAGCAAGAAGCAAAACAGAGATCCCAGACAGAAAGTCCATGAGGTAATTCTTTGCTAGGTATTTGCAGCCACATATGCATAATAATCCCATCAGAAAATTTGGTTCTCTGTTTAGCAAAGGAGCTCAGCAAGAGGAGCTCTCAGTGTCCCGTAAAACTCTATTGACTGAAGACACAGAAACCCCCTAGAAGAAGGCCACAGAGCAAAGTTTTCAACTCACTGTGTCTTCTTTTAAACACAAAGATACATGGCAATTTTTCAAGAGAAGGTGCAACTCTGTAATGTGTTTGAATTTCCATTTCTGAATTTTTTTTAAACCCAACCAAGTACTTTAAGGGCCCAAATATGCACTTGACCCCATTGGTTTTATTGTTCTCTCCTTGACTTAGCATTGCTTTTCGTCCACTTAGAAATAGTGTGAATTCTTTTTAAAAGGCTTCATAATAATTAATCATCTGTGTTAAAATTATCATCAGTGATGTCATGCTTGTAAGTGCATTAACCGGCAGTAGGACTAGATCAGGAATCTCTGCTCCCATAAATGTCTGGTTTTGTGGCAAGAGACAAAATATTGAAACATGCCTTAGCAATACATATTTGTGTACACTTAAATCTGAATGTCTCCCTTATTTAAATGAATTCATCTCTACGAGGGAATAATGGTTATAAGTCATAAAGGTAATGGAAGTCCTACGGAGCTCTGACATATGCTTGAGTTAGATTTAACATGCATATATCCTTTGTAAATAATAAGTATTTCTAACAAAGAATGCTGTACCATAAGTTTCAGTTTTGAATTACCAGATGAAAGATGAATACAAAATATTCAGTTAAATTTCTAGTGTTCCAGATAGAAATATTTAGTTGATCCATAATGTACACTAATTTTTTGCAAACATTATGGATTATCCTGTGTGGCAACTGCATGCCACAGAGTCTCCGAAAGTCACTTGCATCTAATTCTTTTGATCTAAAAGTAAGCATAAAGCAAATAGATTGTTCTAATTTCCATCCCAAGAATTCTTCCGCTCAAAAAACCATGAAGAAATTAAGAAGCTTGATCACCAGCAAGAACTTTTGAAAAGATGTTGCAAACCAATTAAAGCCAATGGAGATTTCTCATTGCTTGAGTGCTTGCATTTTAAATAGATAAGGATCAATGCACAGGGTCAGTTACAAAGAAACCTGCCTCTCTGTTTTCCCCCCAAACCACCTTTAACATTTTTTGTCACATTCATTCACGCAACTACATGTTAGGCAACAATTTTGCACTATCAATATCTCAAACCTCAGCTTCATCTACTGTTATAATTAATCTGAGTGCTAAAAACAGAAATGCAAAATATAAAGAGGTTTGCAAAATATAAAGGAAGGAAACTTTTCACTTCAGTTTTCAATGTTTTTGAAAAACTGAATAGGTTTCTTGTCCTGGTTTCAGCTCTTTCTGATTCAAGCCATAAGTATTTACAATAGCACCAAAAGCACTCCAAAGTAGGATACTTCGCAAACTGGGGTATAGTTGGCTGTGATACATATTGTACAAGTATCTGTCATATTGATTTAACTTGATATTGATATTGGAATGCAGATTTTTTCATAGGTTTACAAAGTGCTACCCCTCAACAGAGAAGAAACCAAAAGTTAAAGCCTATGAAGCCTCATGTTTCCTTCATTATTCCCTCTTCAGATTATGTAAACAGCACCCTTATCAATATTAGAAGGAGAAAAATAATGTCTTATCAGGAAAACAGCTTTCATTTCTTATACCCTTTATTTCAACAGTCTTACCAGGATAAATCTGTTTGATTAGTTTCTTGAAAACTTGCCAATTTTGCTAGAAAGTTCGATATTGAAGCACCACACATTGCTGCTTGTTTGGCAGGATTTAGATAAAATGAGTAATGTAGCTCAATAGAGCAAAGCCAAATCCTCCTTACCTACTCATTGTAAGACTATCTGCCTACAGGTATTAAAATGAAAAACATGGCTGTAAGAAATACTGATTGTACTTGGAAAAAGGAGAGTGTCCTCAAAGACTTGATACAGAAGGGAGATAGCCATTAATCTTGATTCTGTATAGGGTGTTGTGTGTATTATATAAATAGGATGTAAGCTGATGCACAAAGAACAATGCTAGTGTCTACAGATGTTGGCACATTTGTCTACATAACTATCCTAATCAAAATCCACCGTTGTGAAGAAAATGTTTGTTTATACCATATACTGTGGAAGTACATAGGATATGTTACAAATATAAAAAGAATAAAAATGGAAATGTATATATTTTCATCTTTCACACTGTTTTTAATCTTAAGTCAGTATTGCAAGCTTTTTAAAAAAGGAATGGGATTTTATCACTGTTATAAATTATCCACCTTCCCTAGAAAATATAATCTATAAACAATTAATAATATTAGAAATTAATTCAGACTCAGAAAATATGATTCTGCAGGACAGTGTATTTCTTTTTGTCCCTCTCAGCTCTCTAACATCCCGAAAACTTAAGCCAAATGAAACAATCAAAAAGAAAGGAAGCTCAATTTTTATTTTAAATTAAGGCTTTGAAAAAGAGAAAACAGAGATTTTTGACCAGAATTATATACACCAATTACTACTAAGATAAATTTCATAAAATACTGTTAGTTTTCTCATAACAATCCTTGCATTTATATTGCATTATGCAGTCCCTTTTTGTTAAAAGAGACAGGTAGTGATGTTTGCACATCACAGTTCTGTTGTCAAATTAACAAAGGGGGCTCTACTTGACACCTCTCAAGCCCTGTTCCTTCCAGTCCTGTTTGTTCAAAAGTGGAATGAAGAATCTTGTACATTTTGCTTTCACATCTCCTTTGGATGCAAAACCATGATCAAAGAGTTAACATTTTCACACCTTGCTGTCACAGCCTCTTTTCCAAGACTCCAAATTACCAAAGAACAAGTCGAA